CCCCACCCCGGTGGTCTGGGAGCAGTGACATGGCCGTCAACCGCTGTGCCCAACCCTTGCTTCAGCCCTATGTAGGGAATGGAGCTGCAGGTGCCAAGGGGTCAGGCACTATGAACTTGTCCAGTAAAATCTTGAATCCGTAAAATCGGTGGTTTCTTTGTCGATCAGAAAACAACTTTCCTCCCTTCTGCCCTAACTAGAGATGTCATGAATGTAAGAAGGTTCTCACAATGTGTGTGACTTTAACCTTCATCTCGCAGACCCTCGGTGTCCTCATCTGTAAAGGGTTCTTAAGCTTTCTACGTAGTGGACGAATCACGGTTAAAAGTGTTCAATAAAAAGTACCCATTGTTATAGGTGGCACCTGCTTCCCAAGGACAGGCCCTATCCCAGTCCCAACCTCCCCAGACTCTGGAGGAGAGGTGCTTCTTCCTTCCCTCTCTCTGCTGTCTAGTTGATTCTGACTCATAGCAACCACATAGGACAGGGTAGAATTGGGCTTCCAAGACTGTAACTATGGGAGTGGAGAGCCTCATCTTTCTCCCATGGAGCCGCTGACCTTATGGTTAGCAGCCCAATACATAACCACTAAGTCAACAGGGCTCAGACTGAACTTCCTTACAATTTGACGGGTGGAAGGGGCAGTGTATCTGTCACCAAAAAAATAGAGATGGAGATGGTTGAGTTCTTCATAAATAGTTGGTTAAATGGTTGGTGTATTTGAATCATGATGAGTAGGTGAGGGGTGGGTGACTGGGTTAGCATTTTCTGGATGTTTACTCTGGTGGGTGAATGATTGGGTAGGTCATTAAGCAGGATGGGTATGTCTTCCTAGAAAATATCTGGCTCATAGCAAGACATAAATATTTTAATTAAGTGCTTACATATACTGTATATACTATATTTGTTGAGGTCTCCTAGGTTCTGAGAAAGCTCCTGGGGAAACCCTACTGAACTCGACAAACAAGAGGCCCTGTCCTCATGGAGACCTACGACCATGTAACTGATGGAGGGATGGTGGAGTGGTAGGATGCATGTAGTGAGTGGATGCTTGGTTGTATGGATGGAACGACAAATGCTTGAGTGGAGAGACAGATAAACAGCTAGATAAGATGGGCTGGACGAGTATTTGGACAAGTTGGTGTGTGAGATTTGGAGAATTAACAGTCTGATTAGATCAGACATTGTTTGATAGTAAATGATTGGGGGTGGAAGAATAGGTAGATGAAGGTGGTTGGAGGAATGGGTGGATGGCCAATTCATTGGTTGCATGGGAGTAGTTGATCAATGATGTGTGTAAATGAATAGGTGGGGAGATGGGTGGGCACGTAGATGTGTGGGTTGAGCAAGTATTTTGATGGACTGATGTGCCTGGATGTGAGAAGGTCGAGAGTTGGATGGCTAATTGGATCACATCTGGTTGAGTGGTAGATGGATGAGTAGACAGGTGAGAGGTAGACTGTGTGGGTGTTTGGCTGGATGACCAGGTAGTTTAGTTGGAGGAATGAATGAGTTGGTTAGGGCTGGTTGATCATTGGTTTGTGTGGATGTCTGGGTGGGAAGATGAATGAACAAGTAATGAGGACCTGTTGAGTAGGGGTGGGATGAGTGAATTTGGAAGGGTGGAAGACTGGCTGGCTAACTGATTCAGATGCTAGTTGAATGGTGGATGGAGGAGTGGGTAGATTGAAGGTGGATGGGTAGGTTGAGTAGATGTTTAGAAGGATAGTTGGAGAGATGAGTGATTAGTTGTTTGGCTGGGGTTAGTTAATTGAAGAGATGGGTGAATCAAGAGTGGAGAAATGGATGGGTCTCTGGACAAAAAGATAGGTGGTAGGTGAAGACACTGGACTGCTTAGGTGTGCACGATGAGTACATCGTGCAGGCTGTAGGCCTGGGGCTGGATAGAGCAGAGGCACTTAGCATTGAAGACTAAGGGCACGGAGGTGCTCAAGTTCAGTGTGGTTGACAGGTATGAGAAGAAGGCTTAGAAACTAAGCATTGGCTTGGTGGCCTTGATGGCCTAGGGATGACCCAAGGAAAGACTTCTCTATCATTTCCCCACTTTTCTGGTCCTTTTGGTGGACCCAGCATTGGTAGAACCAGTGGGGTAATAGGGAGCCATGGGGGTGGGAGGGCAAGGGTATTGTCATGTTAACAGAGCCCCTCCCTGGACTCTCAGGTCACGTGGGCCCTTTAAGGGTGACCTGCCGGGCCACTCCCAATATGGCGGCATGCCCGCTGTTCGCCCCCGCCCCCTGGGGCGG